TCGGGATGGAAAGCCCGCTTTACCCTTGTTAGGCTGACCAGGTTCCCCCGAATCTTAGCAAAGTGTACGTGGAGTCAGTCGTCTGCAGAACACTTCCAAGATCTACCCTCTCAATAGCCGCTGCCTCGCTCGTCTCTGTTCCAAATCTCTACGCACCCAACCTCCCCAATAACAACCAACATATCCTTGTAAGGTACGACCTCCAACAGTCTCCTTTATCCTGATAATTCCATTGCCTTCTTTACCGTGGCGTTTGCTTTGCAACGGCCAACTGAATCACTGATCCCTATGGGCCGCAGCCGCCATGGAAGGAAGACTGTTGCGCTTCACAGCGTCAATCACTGCGCTCGTAGACTCTCTTTTGGCCCATACTGCCTCTCGTTCCGATGGCATGTCAACGCCTAGCGTGCTCAAAGGTATGTCTTTCCTTATCTGTTCCTACTCAGGCGGTTAAACCTTACATTTGAGTTATTCTAACGGTTGGAATAAAGGCTGTGATACACGGGCATGGCGGCAGAGGCTCGTCCGATGCCCGGATTGCCACCAAAGGCGCCGTAGATGCGGTGTCCTTGGTTCATACCCGTCGTGAAGGTGCCGCTCATACTTTTATCCACACCTCCGCCTTAGGTATATATGACACCATGTGGACTGCCCAGGTTTCTCAGAAAGTTGACAGGATTGTGAGGCCTACGTTGGGCGCCGACTGGATACAAGATTTGTGAGTGAGGCTTGTCCTTTTCTTTGACCTTGTACTTCTCGGTTCTGCTGCTCCTTCCACTACTTAGTACTGTGAATCATGAGAAAGCCGAAGGTCGTGACGCTGTTAGATTGTCCTGTCTCGGGATCGTCGCAATCCGATACATGTCCGAGTCATTTGCCGCGGTGATCAGCGCCTGGGCAATTTATACCAGACAATCTGCACTTTTAACTGCCGTGTTGATCTGTGCTGCTCGGCAATTCTGTCCTTCACCCGTTCGAACAGGCTGACTGCCAACTAGACTGTTTACTTGTATATGGCAGCATATGGATGCATGTATGCGCTGGCCACGGCGTCCCCAAGGGGATGGTCTAGTTTGTCATTGAGATATTAAAGTCGAGGGAGAAAAGAAAATACTAACTAACGATAACAGATAGTCTGGATCTGAAGACCGTCAGCACGAACGAACCCAATAGATATTGAAATTCAAGTCTATCAACTAGGTTCACTCGGCCATACTGACTAATATGAGCCATGCAACCAAAACCATGACTACATAAATCATTCCCAAGCATTTCTAGGTATTTGGAGTATGTTAACTGTCGGGAATCTGAACTTCTTTTATATCGTGTGAAGTATAGAATGAGCAATATCTACAATAAATGTCCTGAATTATGATACAAAAAGTGCCCGATAGCTCTAACAGTCCTCCACGGTCCCCATCTTCGGCGCATGCAAGTTGCAGCTCACAGCTTGCCAACGCCAGCGTTGGCCTTGACATTGGTAGGGACATCAGCGACACCGGTGTGGCCGATGAGATGCTCCTTGAGGCTGGAGAATCCGGTCAAGACCGCCGCGTCAGTGCGGTCAGGCCAAGTGCCAGTGTTGCCACCCGCCCGGTTCCATTCGCAGATGTAGCCCAGAGGTGAGACGCAACCGCTGGCCGAGTCGACGGTGCTGGTGGTGTACAGCTGTGCACCACTCGTGAGGGAAGTATCGGTCATGGGGGTCTTCACGTTGTCGAAGTAGTTACCCTCCAAAAGCACCCAAGTGTTGGTGTCCACATCGAAGGCATGTCCGTCAATATCCTGGAAGTAGTTGTTGACGCCGTGGAAATAGATCTTAGAGTCGTCGTAGTCAGTGCCCATGTGAGGAGCACGGCCCGAGAGATCGTGAAGCCAGTTTCCAGAGAAGGTATACCAATCCTCCAGACCCAGCAGCAGGAGGGACCAGTAGTGCTTGCCATTGCAGCCAGCCGACCATTCGGTGACACCGTCGAACTCGTTGTTGGAGATGGTGACATGGCCGCCCTTGTTCCAGCCGCTGACGATCATCTGTCGACCAATAAGGGAGAACTGGACACATTATTCGTTAGACATCATACTAGACGCGATGAGGAAAGCAAATGGAAGATATCAATATACCTTGTTGTGGTCAATCCAAACGTTATCGGTGCCATCCAAGGTGAGAGCGTCACCGCCCCAGACGTACTGAGGGTTCAAATCCTGCATGAAATGACAGCGATTAGCCCTTGTATGTCCACATTGTTGCGAAACCAAGCTGACGTCGTACCGTGATATGGATGTTCTGGATGATGACGTTGTTGGCGCCACCAGTAAGGCGCAAGCCCTTGCCCTTGAGAACTCCCTTGTTGCCCACACCAACAATGCTCTTGTTGCTGCCCACGTCCAGCGGGGTCTTCGCAGCGTTGTCGTAGGTGCAAGATACCCAGGTGCCGTCATCACACGTGTCCTGAATCCATGCCTGACCGGCGGAGGTGCCACCAGGGCACTTCGTGGTCGTATCAGAGCTGCAGCATTGACCCGAAGTCTGGCCTTCCGTGCTGGTGAAATCCCACTCGCGGTCAATGAGGATCACCCGCTCGACATCGTCAGTGATCCAAGTCTTCAACCTGTCTCCTAGTCAGAGGATATTGCACCTTTACCAAGAATCGTGGTTAATCACTCACTCGTCGAGGCTTGAAGGGGTCTGTGGCGTTGCACTTCCTCCACCGGTTGTTCCTTGAGCAAATCCAAAGGCTGTACCGCTGACTCCGGCTGCGCGAACTGGGCTCAGCAGCATCGCTGCAAGCATGGGGAGAAGGGAGGAATGCATCTTTTTCTTTGGTAAGAGATCAGCCTATCGTACTCTGGTTGGAGTGTTATTCTGGGATTCTTCAGCCGGGTTGTCGTTCTCTAGCGGGCTTTATAAATCGGTCACTGCGTCCGTGCACTCTCACTGATACAATTGACAGCCATCCCATGCTCCCTGGACAGGTTCGCCGTTGCTCGTTGGTGCGCCCCATCGGGTCTCAGTTTAAGAGCAGGTGATGGAGACGTGCCAGCATACTGGAACTAATTGAGAGTGTTTCTCTAGCCGAAGCAGGGAACGAAATTGAGCAGGAGAAGACGCAAGTCTTGGCATAATTTATTCCAAACCTCAATTGCTTGACTGTCAGACAGAAATCCATGCCGGTAGAAATCTTCCGACGCTATCGGTTGTTTAAAAGCTGGTCCCCCACCGGACTAAGACTCAACTCGGCTCCTCGACCGACGGAGTGGATCTCCGTGGCCTTTTTTTAGGCCAATTCTTTCGCTCCCCACCAATCGCATCACAATTGACTCTTCATGTTCTCTGATCTGGTTGACGGCGCTCAGTTCACGGTTAGGGCTTGTCAGGAACCAAGTAAAACGGTGGCACTTCGGACTTATTCCGGAAATGATCGCTGGCTTTCGACAGACAACTTCCGGATATGATCTTGGCAGTTGAGCCCAGCATGGGCCCTAACATGGGGAAAACAGGCAACTACTGAAGGGTGATGGTTCGTTGGTTAGCAAGCTGAGTCTGCTGTATATCCGCCATGCCGGATCCTTTGACAGCTCTGTGCCGGAAAAATCAACGCCAGATCGATAATATTAGAGGCTGAAACAGGACCCTTCTGTCCTTTAGCTTCTCCCAAGGCATGGACATCCTCTGCCGCAAACATTGAACTAGTGACAATAGTCTTAGGCATGGTACGGTTCGGAAAGGCCTCACATTGACCAGGCTCTCCAATCGTCCACATTTCAGTGATAGTTGTCATCCAATAGTGGAATCCTTTGTCTTCTTGGAACCATAGTCAACCTAGCCTGTCTTGAAGAAAAACAGGGGCGTCGTATTCATCCCCCTCACGTAAGTCATGTCGAGCAGCAACAATCCTCACATTCAAACGGAGAAGAGCATGTACCAAACACAACTGATTGTATCGCATCGGGTATTCCCATACATTCCACGGCATAAGGCTATCTGTACGTTTTCGGCAATTCAAAGGACTGTCGTCCTTGTCCAAAGCAGGATAGATTGCGATGCGCATTGCAGACTAATGTAAGTTCCAACGCGACTCGTCCCACATGTGACAGCGAAACAGTTCGCTTAGCCCTAATTGGCGCTAACTTTGTACTATACAGATTTCAATATCTTCAGCCGCAGAATCATTCATAGCCTTGTTTCCTGTTCGTCTGCGATTATTCCGACCATCCGTTAGGATTAGGTCGAGCGCACATCTGTTACATTCGACATCACGACTTTTCAGAAACGCTCCACCTTCCTTGGCGTCTGCATCGTCCGATAAGAATGCAACTTCGGATATGACTAGGTGACATAGTGCTGGTGTACTATGGTCTCCTTCTGAGACTTCCAAAATCTGTCAGCTGTGGAGGGGATATTTACTGATTTAAGCTCCTTCATCGTCTTGCTTGCAAGCATGAACCTCGGGTCACGGTTCGTGTGGGGTATTTATCCCGGTGTATGTGGAGCATTGGTAAATGTGACTGTTCACTTTCCCTTGTAGTGACTTCATGTCTGTAATTAGGCAACTCCGGCGGGGAAAAGGCTACGTTCCTAAAGTTATTCAGAGACATGAGGGGAGCACAGTTGCAGGCTGAAAAATGGGGTACAAGGCATCGCTGCGAAAGGTACTCGGAACGGGCAAGGCACCAAAATTGGACAAACATCATCCATAGCTCTATGCAGCTACGCGAGCAGGGACCAAGACCCGTTTCTAGGCTATGGAGAGGCAAACCTGCAGAAGCTGAGAAGAATTTAGACGGAGGTTGATCCCCAGGGCGTGTTTACGTCGGATGGGCTGTGTAGCGGGTAATTCAAGTTGCAATAAGCTATCAGGAATTGGCTCAGTGTATTAGTATAGCTTCTGCTCCGCTACAAATGCACAGACCTGCTTGCAGACCCTACACCGCGCTATCAGGGGTGCTCTCTACGCGAACATGAAAAGGCTTCTGACACAGTGGGCACGTGTAGTGATAGTTCAAGAACCATGTCTCCAGACACCGGCTGTGGAAGACATGTTGGCAGGGAAGAATGTGGATTGGGCACGTTTTAGAAACAGGCTCGAGGCAAATTGCGCTGATACGGTGTGAGTCCAAATGAGTTCGTTCAAGGGCAGATGCAATGACAGAAAAGCTGCATACCAGTCAAATACACGGTCGTAGTCTTTGAGAGGACTTCGCTCGGTTTGAACCGATTTCCACCAGGTTATAAACGGCTTGGTCGGTGCGACTCGCTCCAGCAGATTCAGTCTTCTCTCTTCCTCTGTGGCTGTCGGAGCCGAGAATGATGGATCTAAAATGGCACTGAGGTCCAGATTCAGCGTGGTAATATAATAGCTTCTCAACAGGACCCTATGAGCAGTTCTTAAAGATTAGTTCTCTGCGCATCCGATCATCAGCCGATGGCATGTGCTAGTTACGCTGAGATTCAGCAGTGGTGCCTACCAGATGGCTGTGACGATATAAATCAGGACGCAGATGGCCACCAGGATCCGGATTTGAAGATGGATTTCTTCAGCGTGCTTCGTGGCTTTCGTTCCTGTCTCTGTCGAATTCATCTCTAGACGCTCTTGATGTATCTTGTCGGATCCTCTGGCGCAAGGTGAAGGAAGGGGTTCTTGCTGGGATGGCCAGCGTCTCTTCTCTATATACGAAGTAAGGGAGGGCTCGCCCTAAACGTTAATTCGTCCAAGTTAATCGCTCAAGTGGCCTGAGAGGGGAAAATCACGACGAACAACTCCAGGGGTCCCACGAATTCATGAGGGGAAAATCCCATAGTCTGTTACCGAATTCCCCTTTGCCTCCCCACGGGCAGTTGTGAAAGATATCCGCCTTAAACGCTGGATCGACTTGCCGGGAGAAAGCTTGCACGCTGCCCGATGTCGTCATTCGTTCCATAAACTACGTAAAAACCCCACGGTAGATCATTTCCTAGTGCTTCAATTGGGCTATGCGTGAAGTAAGGTGCATGGGATATGGATCTGCTGTTTGTGTGACAGGGGGAATGGCCTCAGTTGGGTATCTTTGATGCACTACGATAGTCTACACTCCTCCTGACCTGTCTCGGCTATCTTACTGCTGATATCGATTGATAATTATTAAAGTAAATGGATACAAGCCGCTCAAGAAGTACATTGCGGGAAAGAAAAAAAAAGATACATTTTAACCTCGCTGAATACGCATATAAGAAAAATGGCGAATCTCCGACCTCATCTCACCCCGTATCAAATTTCCCCTAGACACACCTTGACGAAGAAGCGGTCGCATTTTGATGTGAGAGGATGAATGCTCCAAGCAGACACCATGCATGTGAAAACCAAGAGAACGTTGTTCAATGTCGCATCGCCATATCAATTTGAATTCCAGTTTCCCTTCGCCTACTCTTCCACTTTCACCTTCTTCACATCCCAAGCAGAGGCCACCTTCGGAATCGTCACCGAAAGCACTCCATCCTTCAGTCGAGCGCGAGTGTTTTCCTGATCCACAGCGGATGGAAAGCTGAAGGACCGACGGAAGTCTCCAGTGGACCGTTCAGATATCCACCAGGACCCTTCCTCCATCTCAGACGCATGTTCCGTATGCCCTTTGATATTGATCGTGTGCGCGTCAACATACTCGATCTCAACGTCGCTCTGCTTCACGCCGGGAGCTCCCCTTCCAGCTGGTAGGTATCCTTCGATTCGCGCATGTCGAAGGTGGGTGCGTATGCCCGGGGATGCGGATCGAGGGCATGCCCTGATAGATAACGATCGTAGTCATCCAGCAGTCGTTTAATCGCGGAAGGGCCTCGGTGGAACTGGGGCATCAGAGTCATCGCTCTGGCTTTCGGAAACCTCCCTTGCGCAGCGACGACGCATGGCGGCACTCGAGGCTTAGGAGCGACGGCAATCAAGCCAGGGATACGACTGGCGATCGTGTTGAGGTTGCTACGATAAACCATTGTGGAGATATGTATACGTTGCTGGATCGCTGTATTCGTATGAGGTGACGGGGATGAGGCCCGTATCATGACACAAGAGCAGCTTTCAAATCACGCCACTGACCAAGGCATTCCGGCAAACGACCCAGTAGGATTGGGCCTTGGGAAGGTCGGCCACGTCTAGACGATTGGTAGTGGCGAGATCACTTGAACAGGCGTTTGGGGGTTTAGGTTTGCGGTGCCTCTGGTTCGGCGGAGAAAGCTGAGACCAACCACGAGTCGTGTCAATATCCTGACCTGAGAGCTCACGGTCTAGCCTGCAGTAGACGGGCCTTACAATGGGCCTCGCCTTGTTCAGTGCAGGAAAGCATCTGACTTGCAAGTACTCATTATAAGACCGAAGAGGGGTGCAGGTACTGAATCATCTCCCAGGACACCAGCGACATGAGTCCTATCATGCCAGAACGCTGCGCACATAAATGGACAGAAACCACTTGACTTTACTTCGCATATGCGAGCGAAAATTGGACGAGGAATGTTCCCATCCCGACCGTGACTTGCGCCTTGTGGTGGGCCATACCCATATCCTCAATGCACTCTTATCAGCGCCGATCCCGATCTCACGCCTTGTGGACCAACACGAAGATTCTGCTTCGATGCAGCTTGGAGACGAACTTAAGGCTCCACCCCAAAGCCTTCCAATAGCTACGGTGGGTCTCCTCTCCGCCGATTGCTTGGAGTATGAGTACGAGGTGCTGCTCCCATCCTACGACTGAAGCCGTTTCGCTGCCACCCTCACTGACGGATCGGCGTACCAATATGCATGAATCTTATTGCTCGCGATCCTATCCTGTTTCGGTCTGCAAGGCGATCGACGCTAATAGTATAATGCAACATCGATAACTCAACTAATTTCACCACATACCTCGGGTGAGCCCAATTTTTGGTCCCCGCGCGAGCTTGGCGGACTGGCCGATCGATTCCTGGGCCAAGGATCTGAAGACATCATGGACATAATAGACACGAGCTATCAATCAAAGTGTCTTAGTCGTATCTCTCCCGCTTATAGGGGTTACCACGCCCATGCAGCCTTAAAAGGGGTGTGTGGAGCTCGAAGTCGCTCTCGCCCCCAGTTCCCTTTTCTTTAGTACGAAATTAAATGCATAGAATTTTGGTCTAGACTGAACCTAGTGTCAAACAGCCAGCCGAGGTCTAAGCCGGGCCGAAGTGCTGTCTTAGACAATCGACTTTTTATCAATCTCCCAAACACTACCACTGGTGTGAAGGCCGTCGGATGATCCGCCTTCACGCGTATCCTTTTGTTCGACCTTCACGTTATAACTGGTACTGACATAGACGTCGTAATTTCCATCCTCGCTTGACTCATTAATCGCTTTCATGCTCTCCCGCCGGGCGCTCTTCCTGGTCTGTGTCGTCATGTTATACGATTCCGACCCGCCTTGATATCCGTAGGGATGACCGCTGGAGCCATCCTCCACGTAGCCTGACTTCCAGAATCTCTTGGTAAACAGCGGGCGCAGGATGGGAAGGTTAACTGTGGCGACGCCGACAAAGGTCTCGCGGATGCCCCATCGGTTGACGGTGATGCTGGACGGTTCTGCTTCCAATGTGAGGGTGGTTCGAATAATCGACGCGGCGATGACGAAGATGCCGGAGCTGAGGAATATGGCGATGACGAGTTTTCTATTCCCGATAAGGGCAGTTAGGAGGTGTCTTCTCTTGGGGGTTCTTTGTGGATTGCGTATTACCTAGAGAACGATGTTTTGACTTTCCAGAGTAATGGGACTGGAATGAAAAGCCTGGATCGATGGGGTATGAGTAACGAGAAGCGTTCTGGACTGTCCGGGTTGCTTACAGGGCTAAGTCGGTGCTATCAGGAACTGGTCAGCTCGATTCCATACAGAGGGGACTGCGGCAGATATGCATACGTGACGTTCAAGATACATGTTACTATAACGTTTTGGATTTTGAGTCCACACTGTTCTGGAAGACATTAGCATTATGCAGCCCTCGCGAGAGGGGCAGTTCCTTACTAGACGGCGGAGGATATACTCTCCAGTTATTCGATATGCTAGGCAGGACGTGTTAGCGCATATGGACGTATGAAGAGAGACAGATATCCAAGGGTTCTTACGGATGACATCCAAACGTCACGGTTAGGAAGACCGCAAGGTAGGCAATTCCACAAAAGGCCGCGAGCCATTTGATGGCCCGAGATTGCCATAATCCAATGGTTAAACGCTTGCTTTTCCATCGGGATTTCGTCTTAGTTTCTGAGTCCGATAAGGGTGTAGCAGAGGTGCTCACTATAGGAATAGCATTTTGGCTTTCATGACCCAAATCAGGGCTGTGTAGGAGTACCAGGCAGCGAGTTCTGCCTTTGAGCCCGCTACAACTGAGGAATATTGGGTCGGTGTGAGGGAGTCATGTAGACCGTGCGGTATCTCTAGATTGGTGCCTAGCACGTCTTCTTGGACGTTAGCATCGACGGCACCAAGCCTGGGAGGAGATGTTCTTACATGAGAGGTGTACTGTAACAGCATCCATGGTTAGGAGGCCTATCGCCTAGTAGATTTCCTTAGCATTCCAAAGTGGTGGCAATGACATCAGGAAGAAGAATTCTTACCAGAAAGGCGAAATAATCATCGCCTTGAAAACCTCGAACGCCAACCGTCCGGATCCGCACACCCATGCGCACGAATACTATGACAACGCCGAGGCCGAACTCTGTCCATTGTTCAGGGAGAAATGTCTTGTCATTGTAAAAGCCAAGATCTGCCATAACGAATGGCAAAAGAACAAGGCCCTTGTGTGGATGAAAGCAGATGTCGCTGTGCATCAACTAGCCCGGGGTCAAGAAGTGGGCTGCTGCATGCATGATATAACAGATGCACCCTCGAGGCAGGAGAGCCAAGCTGAGGAGATTGTCATTTGCCAATGGGTTGGTCCCAAAAATGGAGAAACTTCCACCCTAGTGCAAAGACTGGTAGACATAGGGGATGGCCACTCCGATCTCCATGGATTTAGAAAGTGCTCTACGATCGAGAAATCTTATTCTGAGCCGGACAAGATCCGCTTCCATGCACTTATCACTTGCCTGTTTGGGAGCAGCGAAGATCCATCGTCGCGGCTGGCACTCCGAGATCCACTCCCTGGGCACTCGTCCCCAACATGTTTCGATATGGTCAGCTGCTAAACCGTTAGGGCTTACATTGCTTCTTCCTCGACGGTAAAACCAACAACCACCATGGACCAGATCGGGACCAGCTCGTCCGCAAGGGCTCCAGGGGCCATCTCGCAATCACCCCTTCCAGGCAGGGGCGCTTCCCAAAAGATGAGCCATTATCCTAACTGGGGATAACAGTGAGAGGGGATCTAATGTTCCCGCATGCCCGAACGAAGGCCGGTGCCCAACATCAAGGGCCTTGACTCTCTGCTGGGTCGCATACGCGAGATGCTGTTTGGTTGCCAATGGAATTCGAGAGCAATGGAACGTCGAGGCCCCTGATCAGCAGATTCGTATACATGAATGGACTGGAAGGGCCGAAGGATCAATGGAGTCCCCACCAGTCAGAGTAAATTTTATTAATGGTTCAGCTCAGCTGTGGTTGGAGTACGAAGAGTAAAACCACCATCGGGACACCATGTGGGCCGAGGTCCATAAACCCAAAGACGCGGGCCGCAACCACAGGCATCATTGGGTCAACAGCGGAATCTCCTCGTTTTAGCTGGTTGCCAAGTCGTGTTTGGGGCGATTGAGATCCCTTATTTGGGCCAACTGCACGGGACACTTTTCCTTGACATCGAAAAGTTGCTCTTAGGGTTCTGGCTACCCAGTGTCCATCCAGACTCCATCAGCACGAGCCAATGGGGGGCATTGGCAACATTTTAGGGACTCAAATTGCCTAGGCTTTCTAAATATATCGCTTCTGAAGGCGCTGCTTCTACCGGAACAGAACACCACCGGTTATGCATTAGTACTGGGCACAACGGCGGATGCATCGCAAGCAGAACGGCGTGGCGTAAGTGCCAGTAAACGTCAACTCGGACAGAGTCGATCTTTTTCTGGAAATTGCTCCCCACGGAGGGAAAAGATTTTTCAGGGTCCGGAGACCAGAATCGAGGGAATGTGGAGCTGACCAACGCAGGGACGATGTGGTATCCACAGCAGCGCCGGTGGGTACGGCCAAAGATGCAATCGCAGTCTACCCAACCAGATGCTCGTAGGTTGATTAAGCCATGTGTCGTCGTCTCATCTTGTAACCCGGATGTAACCCGGCTGTGACTAGCATGAACCATACAAAACCTGTTATGCCTTTCTAAACCGCGTGTGCATCGTCTAGTAGAAGCACAGCGACGATCCAATTGGGTCTTTTAGTATTGCGAAATCCTTCGTCGAACTTCGCCCTCAGGCAAGCTTTTCACGAACTCAGGGGACCCTCGCAAATTGTTAAGCTACTGCGTATTCTGTACAGGAATTGGCGCCGATCTTAACAACTCCCCTCTCTGCTGGTCGGAGCAGGTCCACCACGGTGTGTGAGACAGAAGAGCTTGGAGATACATATTGCAGGATTGGCTTCTCGAGATCCCACGTTTCCAACACTCGTCCATGGTTTATTCTCGACAAGATTCTTCGTTGCACCTTCCAATAATCCATACCATCCTTCTCCCAACCGGCCCGGTCAAGGCGATCGCTCCAACCTAACCTACGTCGGCGACAGAACTATGTCAGTCCCTAATCAGACCACCAGGTGAGGACGGAACCAGCCTGTGCGATTCTCAGGATCCATCTGGACAATAGCCTTCAATCCACCCGCAAAAGGCAGGCAGACAGCTCTGGGGTAGGGCAGAAACCTTGTCTGATTTATGCGCGATTTTATGGGCTGCATGAACCTCATTTATTATCAATTGGGTTCCGTCGCTCACCAATAGCTTCACGTCGGTACGAGACGAACCGTGGTAAAAGCGTCAGCCCACACGACATGCAGCCTCGTTTCGTGCGATGAACCCTTCGGACCCGAACCATCTTTTGCCATCCTTTCAATTCCGAAAGTCAAAACATTGACATGACGTCTCTTCGAGGATCATATCCCAATTATTGGGAGTCACCTTACCTAGGTTCCCGTGGCAGAGAGAATAAGGCAGCTAGACAGAGGGGGTAGCCAATATGAGGTCTTGCTGTTATTCTGGGCTTCTTGGCGACACGACAATCCCCAAATCTTAATCCAACACTCCATCGTCCATGACGTTTTGCCACGGATTGACCCTTCCGGCAAATACAACCATTGGACCCCGTGGGGAAGGCCTTGTCAAGCGGATCGATTTTCCGGGCTGGAATGGTCCATCCCTGCAACTCAGCTGGTACATGTTGGTAGCTCGGGGTCTAGGAACGTTGGTTGCTATCGACACTTCTGGCAGTTCAGTGAATCACCTGATCTAACGTTGTCTAACATTGCCATGCATACTCAACACACTTCCTCTACACACAAAGTAGCTGCACATGGCAGATTTAAAGTACAGGGTGCTGGCATGGCCAACCATTGCATAGTAACTGGAATCAATGTGCATTCATTACAACGCTTGCTATATGCCTCACAACATGCGTCAACTCTGTAAACAGACATGACCTCATTAATCATCAATATGTCGCGTCATCCAATGTCCAGGTCGCGCGTATCACGAGTCCAATCAACAAGAATAGAAGGCTTTAGTGCTGTTGCTTCAACTGCTTGCGGAACGACTCCTCCTGCCGGACGACCCCCATCGGGAGCGCGCGGCCAACGCCGAACAGCACGAACGGGGCCCACTTCCACCGGAATGGGTTGACCAGGATCACAAACACAAACCAGTAGATCAGTTCGGAGTAGGTGAAGAAGTCGAATGCGTTCGTCGGGGAATGCTGTTTCACAAACCGCGTGAAGTCGATCCAGGTCTTCATGCGGCCCTCCGTGGGTTGCGTCAAGGGGTCCGTCAAGAACATGAGCAAGAAGCGCGTGTAGATGCCAATGTGCATGTTACCCACCGTGCCAATCGCATCCACGTAAGTGCTGTTGTTGGCGCAAATCTCCGGGTACTTCGGGGGAAACACCTGCAAGTACCAGCTCGGCGGACTGTACGGCTCTTCGAACGCATCGTCGGGCAAGAAGGAGAGTGACGGACGCTTAAAGCCGGTCGCCATGATGATGACATCGCCCGTAACGACCGACTCGTGGCCCGGACCGCCCTTGGGCACCTTTCGGGCGCGGTGGTTGAAAAGGATCCCGTTCTCCTTCACCGAGACAATATCGCCGCGCAGCCACCGAGCCTTGCCCTCCCGAATCTTGTCAAAGAGCTCGGAGTTCGCCATCGGTGTGGTCGTAAAGAGGCCGCCCGAGGGTGCAATATCCTCCAAGTCCCGATAGAAGAGCTTGTGCAGGAGCCATTCCGGGATCCACGAAAAGGGTGTCTCCATGCCAAAGATGTTCAACGCCAACAAGGACTGAACCAGCACATTCCGGGGGATGATCCACTTATCCGACCGCGACAGGACATCGATTTCCGCCGCTTTCGACTGGACCGCGAACTCCAGGGCCTCAATGGCGCTGGCACCGCCACCGATGATGAGCACCTTTTTCCCTTCCACATCCTTGCCATCCAATTCCGATGAGTGGTAGATATTGCCCTTGAACTGCTCCTGGTCGGGCAACGGCGGCATCTTCGGGTCTCCACAAACACCAACCGATGCGACCACGCCATCAAAGCGGCCGTATTTCTCTTCGTCGTCATTGATGATCCATTTGCCATCCTTGCCCTGCTTCACGGAGGTCACGGGAGTCTCAAATGCCGTATGTTTCTGCAAGCCATAGCGCTTCCACACGTCTACGATTTGCTCACGAATCTCTCCTTGCGTCGGATACGCGTTATTGTATTTCACCGACGGATGGAATCGGTACATAATACTATGGATCTGTAGGGAGGATGTGGAGTTCACTCTCTGAACGGTCATGGTATCAGCCACTGTCTTGTAATCTGCGGATCAATCAAACCTACACTCCAGATACCTCCCAGTCCCTTCGCTTTGGAACGCGCCTCAAAGATCTGTACGTCGAACCCATGACCAACACAGTGAGCTGCGGCCGACACGCCCGTTAACCCAGCACCAATGACCGCCACTCGTTTTTTGGGAAGGCCATTGACGAGTGAAGCAGGTGGTGGAGGGGCAGGCGCGAAGAACCAGTTGATTACACCTTGAAACAGAAGATAGAAGACGGTGAAGGTGCCCACGAAAGGGTGTTTGATGAAGTCCACCCAAGAGGACTGGGACGTCCCTGGCTGAACCATGGTGGCTGTTTTTTGTTTTCTTTTTTGCGAAATTACGGGAACAGACCCGTCAATCGATACGAAATGAAAAGTAGAAAGACGATTTTGTACCAGTTCGTTGTTAATCGTTTGTGTGCAAAGACAGACGACGAGACGAGACTCGAGGCCCTTTTTCAATGGCATCAAGGTGCAAAGCCATGACGTAGTGGGTGGATCACTCGCTTTGATGATGATTCTTATTCTTTTCCATGCATGTGAAAAGGACAAAGGCCATGGTTTCATCATGCGGGAAAAGATCTGGTCAGAATCCATGCGGGCTTCCATTACGTTATGTTCCTCCTGCCATCACATCCCCCACATACACACACTCTCTCTCTCTATACGCATGTATCCTATTTTCTCAGGCATCATCCCTTCCCAAAGTACATCTTATCTTATCGGCGGTTGCCCGTTCCCGTTAGCTTCGTCTTCGAACCGGTTTCCGTCGTACAGCTATATATAGACCTTCGTTTGTACCGCCGTCCAGCCTTTCATGTGAACTTTCTGGCTGCCTGTTAATATACTCTGGCCTGGAATTCTTGTCGAAGCGTTCCTCGGAGATGGTGGATCTTTCTCGGTTGACGAAATATCATCCACCACGTCCAACTAGCCCACATCACCGACTGCATCCAGGATATGCGATCAATCCGTAGGATACTAGTACTGCGTCGGTGTGTGGTACATGATACGGGTCAAATACTGTGTTCTCTGTAACCCCAAGAGAATGGGATTCCGACTCATCACGTGACCTATCCAGATAGGGTCTAGCGCGGTCTAGGGCGGTCGCATCCAGCAGAACTTGCCAACGATAATGTCATCTTCAATGTCGACTGAACCTCCCACCGACCAATTCCACCTGGTTGGTCGTACTCGCTGACGAAATCTCGAATTCCGGTAACCATGTGCGACTATCGCTAACGCCTCTTCCTCCACCCGTCGTGCGAACTCCAACGCCCATGACGGCTTTCATTCTCCCACGAGCCTTCATTCCTTGACGCTATCCGCCCAACCATTTCCCTTGAACCCGTTCGCAAAAATGGCCACGCCAGGTGCTCCGGTCCTGGACAGATTCCTGTCGGGGATCTCAGAGATAATTCGCAATCGCGACGGCTCGAAGCTCCAGGACTTCCTACAGATCGAACCTCCGTTGTCCGACATTTACCGGCAGATGGTCGAGGAGTTGCGGCGACAATACCCCAATGGACCGAAGGAGGCTGATCTCCTGCGCCGATGCGAAGGGCTCGTCCCGCGCACCAAGAACGGCAGCTCATGGACCGCGTTTCCGACCTTCATGAAGCTGTATTTCACCTTTCTCCGCGACGTGAACGTCGACAACCTGCTCGAAACCTACAATCTGCTGAAAGGGCTGGTGAAGTAAGTCCTTCCGGATGTATCCTTCGCCTCAATCTTTCCCAGCATTACACTCGATGGTAGATTACCGCCGTCGAACGTAGCGCTGAGCTCCTGTCGCCCTCATCGGTTACTGATTGTTTCTGCGGATAGCCAGTCTGTTCTTGCGCTCGGGGACAGTCAATACGGTGTCATCGTGCTGCCGACCGTCCTTTACCTTTCCAAAGTCCTAGCGAAGCTGGCCATGGGCCTCGATCGCCGCCCCGAATTGATCGCACATTTGCTGAGAATGGAGGGTCGCTCTGATCAGGATGAGAGCATCGAGAAAGTGACCTTGGTCGAGAAATCCGCGAATGTCGTCCGAGAAGCATTCATCAAGTGCCTCACGGATCGTAGCGGGACCCCGGGGGTCCACGGCAAACCCGAAGGCAAGCGGGTTGGCATCTATCTCATGGCCAACCTCTGTCTGAAATTGCTTTTCCAGGTACGGATCGATGCCCTCTTCGGCCGCTCGAACGAGCTAACACAGATGACTCCAGTGCGGGAAGCTCCGAAATGCAGAACAGATGTTTTCCAGTATCAGCGCCCAATCCCCACCCCTCAAATATTTCCCCGCCTCCCAGAGAGTGACCTACCTGTACTACCTCGGACGATATCTCTTTTCCAATAATCTCTTTTATCCCGCCCAGATCGCCCTTCAATCCGCCTACGACCAATGCCATCGCCAAGCTCTCAGCCAAAAGCGAGTCATCCTGACTTATTTAATACCATGTAACATCATCATGGGTCGCTTTCCTTCAATGGAGTTGCTACAACGGCCTGAATCAGAAGGCCTCGCCGACAAATTCGTTCCGATCTGTCGACTCATCGTTCGTGGCGATTACATCGCCTTCCGAGAGCATCTGGCGCTGGACTCACCGACCACCGAATGGTTTGCACAGAAGGGCATCCTCCTTGCCCTGCGCAATCGGTGCGAAATACTCGTATGGCGGGCGCTTGCTCGAAAAGTGTTCATCCACGGCGGCTTTCATGGTGAACCCCAAGGCTCCGCCCAGCGCGGACCTCCCCCTTTCCTGTACCTCCACAAACTCGAAACGGCAGTGCGATGGCTCCAATCCCAACATGCGCAGTCCTCGCATGGCTCTCTCAGTTTCGCTCCGCCTGGCCAAAACCGCGACGCACAGGCCGGGCACAACGAGTTCGGATCGCAACTGGTGTATAAACTCCCCGATCACGATTTCGCGGGAGTTCACGAGGTCGATGGCCCGGGGTTCAAGCCGGACCCGGACTTAGTGTCCAATTACGAAGACTTCCTCGCGCCAGACGGATGTTTTGACGTCATGGGGCAATGGCAGCCCAACACGCCGGGAGTCTTAGTCGACGGACAGCCCGACGCCGACTACTCTCAGTATGAACTCGACCCATACACCCACCGAGTCGAGCGAGACTCGGAAACCGACCAAGGAAAACCAACGCCCATGATGCGAGAGCTGGAATCGATCCTAGCGTCCCTCCTGACCCAGGGCTTGATGCGCGGCTACTTAACCCACAAGAATCCTCGGTTCGCCATTCCTGGTGCACGCCTGCGCGGCGCCTTGCCAACCGGCTTTCCGAATGTCTGGCAGACTATCTCCGCCCGCGAATCTGAAGATGATCGCGTCCCGGGTTGGGTCCAACCTCCGCCACCCGTGGTGGGTGGTGGTCTGGCAGCAGCCGGCGGCGGTCGCGTCGTGAACCTAGCGGGGGCACGGCCAGTGGGCGTGCAGTAATCTGGGTCGTCCATACGAAGTTTCGCGCGCTTCAACTCCGTGGCTCTTACAATGAAGAGCGCGATGTGATATATTACGATACCATTGATGTTCTTACAATTCCTGTCCTGGCTTTGGTGCTAGCCACCCAATGTTTGTCCTAAGCATAGTTTAGAAGAATACCCTCGTCCGCTTGCATCAACATCAGACAGCGGCAAGTAAACGTATCACTTCCCATCATTAATCTTTCTTGGTCTTGATCAAATAGTAATCACCTCCTCTCCAAGCCTTATATACTCCGTACAACCCACAAACCGGCCACGTCTCCCACGCCATCCTCTTCATCCAACTGACCCATCCCTCGGTCGCCCCATCCCCCTTGGGACTCAGATTAACCCGCACCTTCTGATACAGATCCGGCAAATGCGTGGCATGGTACTTCTCCCGCAACGCGTCATACCGTTTTCGATCATAGATCGACCAAAACTCCTCCTCTGTGTAGTACGCATGGGCATACAGCCACTTCTTCCCACCCAACTCCCTGACCTTGTGCTCCAGCCGCCGATTCTGCGCAATGAACGCCCCCGTATCGGACGCGTAGGGGGATGGCGCCCACAACCCGAAGTTCATCAGACAGTCCCCGTCGTCATCGGAGTCCTCTTGCTTCTGAGATTGATACGGTCCTGCCTCGGCGCCGCGAGCCATGATCCCCTGCGAATGATGCAGCGGACATAACCAGATCGGATACGCGCCGAAGGTCTCCTTGTTATCGAGCCAGCTGAGGAACTCCCCCGTCGCTTTGTACGGCACCGCCACGTCTTGGATGATGTGTTGTTTTGAGAGCCCGCTCTCGTGTAAGGCGTGATACATGATCCGAGTGTGCATAAAGGTATCCAGGATGTACCGTGTGATGCGATTAAACGGCGTGATGAAGTAGCTGAAAGCGTAGCGACCCGTCCAGAATGCACCGCGGTCGTACCGGAAGAGGTAATCCTGGATTGGGACGTAGTGGGTGACCGAGGCCGGGGGCTCGGCGTTGGAGCGGTGGATTTTTCGGGTTTGGCGCTGCGCGTGGATATAGAACCAAGGGTCTTGGGCGCGTGTGAAGCGTTGGATGGGGGTTCGATCTGAGGGCAAGTCGACTAGGCGACCAGCGCAGACGGCGATGTGGTCTGGGGCGTAGATGATGCCATCCAGATACTCGGTTTCGGGGGATGCGGTGGTCTCCCGGAAGACTGTCATTGCTTGGGATATGCTGGAGGCAGAGTGGTAGGTTAATTCGACGTAGGGTTTTGCTTCGCGACATTGGATTTCGAGCATGGTTACGACACCGAGGGTTCCGAAGGATGATGCCGCCGCCCAGAAGAGCTCTTGCTCATCGGGTATCTTTTGCGAGGCTGTGCGGATGTCGCCATTTGCTAGGACCAGCTCGATCCGGTTCACGGTCGCATCGAAGAATCCGTGTCGAAAGGAGCTGCTCTCGCCGGACGTTCCGGAGAAGCCGCCGCCTGCGGTGATGCCGGGGAATTCCATGACGACCAGCGGGATGAGCCCGTGCGGTAGGGTAGCCTGGACGAGTTCGTCCATGGGGACGTTCGGCTCGACCAGGATCGTCTTGCGGTCTGTGTCCACAGCCAGGACATGGTTCAAATGGGCGGTGTTGATGGTGTTGGCTGCGCTGTGTTGCGATTGTCGCGTGCTGTTTGTGGAGCCATGGTAGATGCGGAAGGGTTGTTGATGTTTGTGGAATTGGTGGACTTGGGCCGCGATGGTGGCGACAGCTATATTGTGAGCTTCCATGGTGCCGTCATTGAGCATCACAAGGGTGTCCAGGAAAGAGATGGGTACTCGGTTGAAGTACCTTTGAAATGCGGGTGCCTGTTGATTTAATGTGTTGATCGGGACTTTTTCCCCACTCGGAAAGGTCAGAGCACGGGTAATGACCTCATCCTTCAGATTAGATTAGATTAGATACCAATGGGCAAGGAAACCCCGTTGACACGATATGTTACATTGCCTCTTAATCGAGAAAATCCAGTGTTATCACCAGACTCAGCCGGACTTACGCGACGCCCGAGAGCGCCTCCATGATACAAACATGAACAGGATCGAGACCACGAGACCCAACCCCGCAAAGCCAATACCCAGGTAGAGAGCTCCTCGGTAGCCCCGGAGGGCATTTCGTCCACCCTCGTTCACGTTCGACTCCACGGTCCCGGCGAATCCCAGGCCCAGGGAGATGGAGTAGTTTACCGTGGTGGTAACAAGGGATGCGGCAAGGCCTTGATGGTGGTGAGGCATCGAATTGCTGAGGATGAGAGTGCCCGATGGGAAGGACATATCCCTGTCGCAACAGGTTAAGAAGGAAAATATTTGGGTAGGAAAGGTAGGTAACTTACATGCCCCATGACGTGATAAGACTAGCTACGAATGCCTGAGCCCAGTAGGTCTGGTCCACGGGTACCGTTGCAAAGATGGACAGACCGGCCGTAAAGAAGACCATCGCGCAAAACATGATGACACTGGGGGGCAACCGTCCGAGCAAGAATCCCGTCAGCAGGGCCGCTATGGCACCAGACGGAGCCGCAGCGACCCATTTGGTTGTGGCTAATAACGGAGAGTTACCCTTGATCTCCTCCATAAATTGGTAAAAGTAGTAGATAATGATGCCAAAGCTGGACCACCCGGCAGCGATACATCCCAGCACCCATGCCAGGTCACCAGTTAGAACTGAAGTCGGCAGTAGTGGGCATTGAGCAACACGTTCGATCCACAAGAAGCCGCCAAAGGTGATAACGCCAACGATGAGCAGCACGTAGGTGTATGGCTTGGTCCACCCGACCAACGCGGCCTGATTCCATGCAAAATTGATCAGCACGAGTGCGATGATACCGGCTGCTGCTCCTAGCAGATCCAGTCGCACCCAAAGCGGAAGGTCCTTCTGGAAACGAGGTCGCGGCGTGTGCGGAATGACCAAAACACCCAGCAGAGCAAAGGCAAAGCACACCATACCCTGGACCCAGTACGCCCACGGCCACCACACCATCTGTGCCAAGACCGAGGAGAACACGCCACCGACAATAAACCCGCTCGGCGCGGTGGCTCCAAAGAAGCTGAAGATCATCTCTTTGCGCAAGCCCGGTGGATATGCGCGCCCGAGGATGGCAATTGCATTCGGGAGTAACATGGCAGGCCCCATTCCTTGAAAGGCGCGACAGCAGTCAAAGAAGATCTGATTCGACCAGACACTGAAACCCGCCAACAAAGACCACAAACCGAACCATGCGAAACCGATGATGAACATCAGTCGATGACCGAATACATCGCCAAGCCGACCACAGACTAAGATAAAAGTGCCCACCGTCAAACTGTATGCCGCCGCAAACCAGCTTAATTCGCCGGGTATGGACGTCTGGAAGCCCTTGCCGATGATATACACCGGGGCGATCGAGATGCACAGACCCGCTTGCGTCATGAATTGAGCCATGCAGACCACCACTACGAAGAGGATCTCCCGCCACGGCTCCTTCGGCGGTACCACGGCGGACAGAGTGGTCTCAGTGCGTGTCAGTGCTTCGGGATCATCACTCGGGTTGTTTGGCAGTTTCCCATCCAGCTCGTCGCGGCTGATGTCGGATCTCGACGCGGATGGAGAGAGTGTCGCATCGTGCTTATCCGACTCCATCATCTTGATTCCAGCGGTTTCCGTAACGTGTCGGTATATCAGTCTCTCGATGGAACTTCAGAGAGAAACAGTCCAACGAGTCGGGGATGACATCTTTTATATTTGCCATGATCGGGACAATCCATCGAGAGCAATCCCTTTACGCATTGTCGATAGGTTCCCACACCGACTTTGCTTGATACTGATTAGTGAGTGTGCTCAATCAATTGATCATTGCGCGCTTGTCATTTGGTGAGTACCAGGGATCCACTCGATTCCCGTCGGATTCGATGTCCGCATCCCGACGGGACATGGCTCGGAATTAATGCCAAACTGATTGATAAGACACGGTAGTTGCGCAGACTTGATTAGAAGACTTAATGCGAAAGGTTCTTGGTAGCGGAAGGGAAAAGAAGGGTCTTGCCAAGTGGTTGTGTTCTGGGAAACAGGAATTCTGCCTCCAACAGCAGTGGTGTGCGCATATATATATCTTCATCTTTGGTACCTAGTTGAAGTCAAACTGGTCTCTTTTGATTGTAGAGCCCTCATCGGACTGACTGTTGCCAAGATTAGTTAATCAGGAAGATATCTCTCGATACGGAATACTGTAACGAAGTATAGTTACTTTGACCTGAGCTGAGTTAAATCCAAGCTCTCTCGTCGTTGCGCGATGCATACCGACACGTGATCTACGCCTAAGGCAGCCGTCTGGAAAGATAGTTCTATGTACTAGTACAGAGTCCTGCAAGAAAATCCCTCGGATCCCCGGCCCGAGGGATACCTGCAGATGATGATTAAGGTTAGAGGATGGCCTACTAGTAGACACCCACAATGCACCTAAAGGATGCGTCCCGGACTGTTCGAGGCAATCCGATCAGCCGAGGAACAAGTTGTGCACTCCAAGGCTTAGGTAATAACTGCATTGTGGGGACATTACCGTACATAATCATCCAAAGGGGGTTAGCGGCACGACGAGACCCGATGACCTCACCCAGTTACATAATCCAAATCACATGCTGGCTGTCAAAGAAAGAAACAAAAAAAAAAGAGAAAGAAAAAGAGAAGTAAAAAAAACTCATGCAGGTTGACAGGGCGTGACAGGGAGGGCAAACAATCCCCAATATGATATGCTTTGTCTGCAGCATGTCTTCTTCAACTCCTTGCATCCGTTGATCGCTCAGATTTTGTGATTTTCTCCCTTCATAGAAATATACACACACAACTCCTTCGAGGCGCATGGCGTGAACCGGTTATAGACGACTATTGATCCGTTCTCATTCCTTCCCTTTTTACCCCGCCGGAGGTTCGAAACATCCAACGAGTCACAACTCCACTGCTGCCTTGACTTGGCTCTCCAGTCGCGTCGCTCGCCAGGGCAGAGCACATACCTCCATCTTCTTTCCTCACTTCTTCTCCTTTTCCTCTCTTCATCTTGTTCTTCAGTCGGGTTTAAAACGCTCTACATTTGATATATCTTGCACTTGACACTATGGGGAAAGCCCCCGCCGCGATCGTTATTGCGAGGTACGTCCCAAAGACCTGTAGCATCTTCGTTATGGTCTTTGTTCCCGTTCGCTTTCTTTGAGAATGAAACTTGCTGACCGGTCGGTCTATACAAGACATGGTGCCCGTCTGGATGCTGCCGATAAGAACTGGCATCTGACGTCTCCAACCCCGTACGACCCTCCGCTTTCGTATGGCGGCTGGCTTCAGTCCCGTGCTTTGGGCGCCCGTATTGCCAATGTTTTACAGTCCCTGGATAACGATATCCTCCCCGAGGGAACAGATGTCGAGACGTTGCCGTCGTTTCGCCCACGAACTTCCAAGCGAAAGCGCCGAATCATTATCCATTCCTCCCCCTACCTTCGGTGTCTACAGACCTCTATCGCCGTAAGTTCCGGGATCAGCCAGCACTATCCTGATAGCACAGGAACAGGCTCGGGTTGGAATCAGCCCAATGGGTTTCTATCCGCCCCCGTCATGCCGTCAGCAAAGGAGCCGACCACTGGCACGGTGTCCAGCGCCCCTGCTGTTCCCGGTGATCAGCGATGTCTTCTGCGCGTCGACGCCTTTCTTGGCGAATGGCTATGTCCGGACTATTTCGAGGAGATCACCCCGCCCCCTAAGTCAGAAAGGCTGATCGCCGCCGCCAAGGCCGAACTATTACGACGGGACAGCATCGTGCCCGAAGCCGATACCAAACCCCCTACGGGCTTTTTCCCAGGTGGCTGGGGCAGTCTTGGCAACAAACCTCTGTCTCCCCCTATCGAAGAGGAAGATCGCAAGGCTTATTCCTTGTACACGTCAAATGAGCGTCGGGAAGGGCAGCGAAATCGGGCCGGCAGTTGTGATACCCTGCGGTCCGCAGACACCCCACGCACCCGGAGGTTGCTCAGCAAAATTAACACCAACCTCCCGCCCATCCCCGATGGCGCGTACATGCCCCCGACGCCGAGCTATGCCATCTCGCCGTCCGGCCCGATTCCGACCGGTTATGTCACCCACGCTCGGGATGCTTGTGTGAGGATCGACTATCCGTGGGATAGTATGCGAGACCCACCGAATTGGGGAAATGGTGGTGAGTACGGCGAAGAGTGGAGCACGATGCACACGCGGTTTCATACCGGACTGGAGCGGATGGTTGGCTGGTATCAGGAGCACGATGCATCACTTCCCTTCAATCGGCGTCGGCGTCATTCGCAATTATCCTTGTCTGAGAGCGCGGAGGAGTCGAAGATACCTGACGATGAGGACGAGCCTATCGACACGATCCTGGTGATCGTCACTCATGGGGCAGGTTGTAATGCGCTCATCGGAGCGATCACTGGCGAGCCCGCCCTCGTGGACATCAATACCGCGTCCCTCACTTTAGCAGTCCAGAAGAGCCGTGTGGCTGTCTCAGAGAAAGTGGACGCGATCGGCGGACCCGTCGTGCCGTATCATTCCGGAAACAAGCCCGTGGGGCTCCGTGATTACAAGCTACAGCTGGTGGCTTCGACCGACCATTTACGACCGGTCACGAACTTGTCGACGTCCGTCCTCCCGTCGCCCAGTAGTCTAACTTCTCCATCATCGACGTACCGCCCACGATTCACGACCCGCCCGCCGGTACCACAGGGTGGGTTCGTGATCGGTCCCTCTGCTGTGTCCGGACCGGGCACCGGTTCGTGGTCATTCTCACGACCTTCCACCGTTCCTCGCAGTGCTGGCGGCCTTTGGGGCTCCAACTCCATCTCCGGCGGGGATGCGGCGGACGATATTATTCCCAATTTCGGTGATCCCTGGTCGGGTTCTAATGGGACTAGCGAAAATGACCACCACTCCAGCAAGAAGCCGGAGGAGTCGTCAGATTGGACGCCACAGTTGCCCCAGAGGACGCTGTCCCAACGAGGTCTATGGGGCAGTGGGCCTTCGAAGGAGCCCCATGTCAAGCGGCGCTGGACGGTGACTGAACGGCGCGTTTAATGGGCGCACGTATATTATTAGACCATGCGCAGTATACCTTTCTCATAATCTGTTTCACAACTTTCAGCGGACTCTTTCCCCCTTGGTTTCCCTTTTCTTTTTCTTCTCGGTTATTCGGCGAGGCGTTTCTGGGATCATAGCGAACTTGAGCGTTTGATGATGACATGAAAATACTAGTATACTATGATTTCGGGCGAGTGAGATCTTTGACCCATCTGAGCATCTCTACTCTACTGTGGGAATGTACAACAATATTAATACCACTCTATTTGGGTAACCTCGGCTCGCTGTCTTTGATCTGATATCTGACTAGTAGTACCAGGTACTAGTAAGTACTAGTAGGGACTAGGACGGACGAAATTCTGTCATGATCCCCACGGACGGTGGAGATCCCGTAGATAATCTTCCGTGGTTGATTGGTCCGGACCACAGAGGGCGGATCCACGGTGGCCCGGGTGCCTGCATGCCTGGGGTGTCTCACTGCGCTGGTCACCGCTGGGTGTCAAGTGATTCAACCCCTCCTCCTCCTGGTTCCTCTTCTTCTCTTTCTCATCTGTCTTCATCCTGCTTAATTCACTCGGCCACCATATTTCTTCTTGTCAGTATGTCCGCCGTGGAAAACGACGGGCTTACCATCACCCATTCTTCCGAACGAACCGGAACTCCCGATCTTCGTCTCATTCATTACAATGATGTTTACCACGTGGAGTATGCAGACTTTCCCTTCCTGGACATCTGTCACGACAATCCACTAACCAATATCCGGAGTCAAGAGAAGGGTCGGCAGAGCCAGTCGGTGGTGTTTCTCGATTCCAATCCGTGATCAATTATTACCGTTCGGATCCCCGATTCGCTGGACAACCAGACGTCCTCACCTTTTTCTCCGGAGATGCCTTTAACCCGAGCCTCGAAAGTACAGTCACCAAGGGGCGCCATATGGTGCCTTTTCTGAATAAGGCGGGCACGGATGTCGCATGTGTTGGGGTATGTTTGTTCGCGGACGGGGAGGGTGTCTGATGCAAAGTACGATGAAGGCAATGAGGGTCTGACTTGTACGTGTGATAGAACCATGATCTCGATTTTGGTGTTGCGCAGCTGCGTCATCTTCGTAGCCAGTGCCAATTCCCATGGTTGTTAGCCAATGTTCTTGATCCAGCCTTGGGAGAAGATATCCCAATTGCGAACTGTGAGCGAACCCGGATGTTGACCTCATCGAACGGCTTCAAAGTGGGCGTGATCGGTCTTGGGGAGAGAGAATGGTTAGTTGTCCCGAACTTCTAGATATGCTATACTTCCAATCCTCACGTATTCAAGGCTCGGAACTATCAACTCCCTTCCTCCAGACTTGATTTATAAATCGGCTGCTCAAACCGCCCTCGAGCTCGTCCCGCGTCTCCGTGAACAAGGCGCCGACATCATTGTCGCTGTTACCCACCAACGCGAACCGAACGACTACAAATTTGCGGAGAGACTTCCGCCAGGGTTCATTGATATCATTCTGGGAGGTCACGATCACTACTACGCACACGCTGTCGTCAACGGGATCCAAGTTCTGCGCTCCGGCACCGACTTTAAACAGCTTAGCTACATCGAAGCGTGGCGGAAAACGG